CCCCAATGGCCCAATCCTGAGGGTAAGAATTACATTCTTGGTCAAACACAATCAGGTGCATAATAAAAAAGTGTTTGTGCCCAATTGTGGTAATATTTAGGGCACTGGCCCGCACTTTTGTTATTGGGGTACTTCTTGTGCACCCACACAGCCTCCCACTTCTTACGTCACTGTAGGGCAAAAAGAATGCTTCCTTAGATGGAGAGAACTACAGACGAAAACTCAAGTTCAATGACAGACTGTAGACTACAGTCTGCCGTTGAACTTGCGTTTTCCTATTTCAAATTTTTTCACAAATATTCTTACGGAGTTACCGACTCGATTGACTCATACCCAGTTACCAACCTGACTGTAAGCAACAATTGGAAACATCGTCTAGTCAGTGGAAACAATGTTTCGCTCTGGGATTTCAGATAAACCAGGGCGTCGTTCACTGATCGCATTTCTTGATTGCAGTAAGCATATAAAACTCTTATGCATATCGTGCTACATGCATGTGAACATTTGTGAACATACTTCCTAATATAACTCGGCTAAAAATTCGCTTTTGCACTTTGCATGTTAAAAATATAGTTTAAGAACCGGAGAAATATTGTAACTAATGTAAAGCTATTTTGATCGAGATTCATCGCATTTCGAAGTGCCTACCTACATGCATTTCGGGGTTTGAAATTTTCGCTAATATACAATATCACCCGTGAATGATCTTTGCAGAGCCTAAATTCCAAATAAAAGTGCAACCACGTAATCGTGACATATAGATATAAGTAAATGGAAACTTCATCCCTTGGCGCGGGTTTTGACTTATAATTCGTTCATAAACTCGCGAAATAAGTACGTAATATTTCTTCTTATTATTTCTGAACTGCTTGATTACGTTTGAGGAAATTTTCAACTCAATAGTTTGAGTCTGATACGTTTCCGAGTTTCAAAAATATTTAGTTTGCTTCGCAAAGCACGTACGCGTGTAAACAAACGCATAATTTTGAGACCGACTGCACTCAGTTAGGCAGCGTTTACACTGTACCGTTTTCGTAGCGTTCTCGTATTGTTCTTAATCCTCAAGGGAACGCAAGACAATAGTCTAGTTCCCTCGAACAATACGAGAACGCTACGAAAACGGTACAGTGTAAACGCTGCCTTAGAGATCGACTGGATCATTTCTCTGGGGAATTACGCCCCTGGTGGTTACACCCATTGTTAAATCATTGATGGAGGCTGAGAAATTCTTCAAAGCATGAATGACCCCATTCTTCACACAGCATTAAGCAAATAACCATAGGTCTAATTAGTGGTACAGTAGGTTTGATTATTTGTGAAATTATGCAATTATATTTCGAATTGGTTTAAAATCAAGGGAAATATATTTTGCTCTTATTGGGATGTCGGAAGTGTATTTAAAATAATTTTTAACACCAGAAGATTTTTTTTTATTTGAAAAATATTTTCCATGCCCAGCATGACCTTGTAACTAAACAAACCAAGTGCTGTAAACAACACGACCCATGTAATATTTTTTCACTTTTCTATATATCAAACGGTGCCATCTACTGTAGCATTCAAGGGTATTTGGTATGGCTTTTAAAGAGATTCTGTACAACACGATTTTGTACACGCATAGTCGCATATGTATTACATACGTAAATTATGAGTGTATGTATATGCAGGATCTAGTACGTGCGACGGGGCAAGTTTATATAATTATAATTTTCACTCTTACTTTTCATCCACTTATAGGGAGAATTTCAACTAGAACTGGATCTCGCACTGAAATCTCAACCTCCCTAATATAGTGAGACAAATCGTCTTCATCATACAAAAAACCCATATACCTTGCACAACAAGTTGCCGCAACTTGGTTAACCAAAGCCTTCGTTGGTGAAATATAAACAACGACACCATCATTATCTTCTTTCAGCACTCGCTCCATGCAATAATAGGATGCAAACGTCTTTCCAGAAGACGTTGGAGCGATAATCAACGCCGACTGTTTGTTATCAACTGCATCCAACAGCTCCCTTTGCCAGGTTTCAGGAATAAAATGCTCAACTCTGCCGTCTCGATCAGTCCGTGTTTCTCTCTTCAACTTATCACCAAGGTTGTGCAATTGGAACCTTGAACTTGGTATTTTCAAACTGTATTCATCATCAGATTCAACTGCCTTTCCTGTCAAGTTTGTCTTCAAGACAATATCGTTGAAGCCAAGACCATTTAGGTATTTAGCCACACTATATTTATCTTTCCGTGCGAGAACGTCTTTACTATTTTCAACCAACTCTCGAATTGTAAGAAAGAGCATCTCAGCGTCACTGTCATCTTCTTTCATCTTACAAGATTCTTTCCATTTCTTCCACAGGATCCTTGCTTTTGTTTGTAGAACAACAATCCTTACCTTTCCTTCCGTCACTCCTCCAAGAAAGCGATTGGCAATATCAACTGCTACATCATATTCTCCTACGCCTTCAAGCTGTTTAACCTGTTTCTCCTTATTCAGCCACGAATCTTCTTCTTTCTCCAATTTTTCCTCTTCCTTTTTCATCCTATTTTTTTCTTGGATATCTAAGGCTTTCTTTGAAATCTTGTTTTTCTCTTTTTTCTGGTTTTTATTTGCTTTCTGAACTACGATTGGCTTGTATTTTCCTTCGCCTTGTAATGACTGTCCGTATCTCTCCATGTATCTAGCATATTTTTGTTTTCTTTTCAAGGCACGCTTGTCCTGAATGTCATTGCTATTGTCTTTCGTTCTGTCATACTCATCACTAAGTGGCTTGCCAGAATGCCAGTGGTATTTCTCATCAAAATCGTTCCCGCTCACCACCAAAGCTGCAACATCTGGGTCATTTATATCTAGCTTCTTTACCGACGTATTTTCGAGAATAGTTCCGGCATATTCATTCAACAACGGGCACTTCATCTGGATTAATCCATCTTTCTCCTTCACATCGACTTGCTTTTCGCTTTGCTTTTTCTGTAACGGGTATTCAGAATATTTGGCTGGAATTCGTGCTCTTTGATTTTCTAAATCTGCATTCATTTCTTGTGTAGTATTACACAAGTGGTTCTCGTTATTTCCGAGGTACTTAAGAATAGGGGACGCCTCAAGCTTTTCTTCACCATCCAACAACAAAGATGATACAACATGAACGAGAGATTCAAACTTTCGTTGGGAACTATCAGATAATGGAAGTTCACACCCATCTCTCTTGCTTGCTAACAACAAGAACAGAACTTGGTGGAGCAACCGTCCATCCCACGCGTCACATATTCCTGACATTGACCATGGCGAGTCTTCATCTTCAAATGCTTGTATAAATACATCAAGAACTTCTGCCATGATAAACTGTAATTTTCCAAGACTTTCTTTAACCTGACGGTCTATTGCCGGACTCGTTAACAAATTATCAGAGTCATCCAGGGAAAATGCTCTATACTTGAGTGGAAGTTGTGTGAGTAAGACGCCATGAAGTAGCAGGACACGAACCAGATCATGTTGAAAATCTTGGTTTTCAGCAGGCTTGAATAACTTTAGATAAACACTAACTGTGAGTGCATGAAGGATAAGGCGACAATCGATGACACCGTCTTTATCTTGACATGCTACATCAAATATGAATGAATTACTGTTCAAATTTATCAAAACACAATTAATGACTTCTGGTAAATTGGCAACATCAAAGCTACCAGTAAACGCATCCACGTTGAGGGTTTCCACTGGCAATGGAACTTTCCACTTTCTGAACATTGGGGAAAACATAACATGAAAACCATTGAGAGTGGATGTACCAAACTCTATGCCATACGTAAACGCACAATTCAATTCTAAACTAAGAACTCGCAAGAAATGAAGAACGAAAATTCTCGAAACATGTTGAGGAATTAATTGTTGATCCTTGTGTTCAGATAAGATTTCACCATCAGAGAGAAGCATAAATGAAGGGACAAATTCCTTGATATATTTAAAAAACTCAGGATCCCACGGACTTTCAAACTTATACAGAACCTTATAGCTGACATTGGCTAAAAGATGTTGCATGATAACTTTGCGTGCGAGGTAAATACATGGCTGAGATTTCCAAACTTCTTCAAAATCCTTGAAAAATACAATTTGAAAGACGCCATCTTTGCGGACAAAAAGATGAAGGTATCGTTCAAAGAGGTAGACAAGATGCAAGAACTGACCGCTATAAATCCAATCTAAATTTTTATCTAAAGCAAGTTCCATTAACAATGAATCCCCATCGATAAGAAACATTTCAGCATCAGCAAACTCATTCATTAAGTTTAACATTTTTGGTTGTATCTGGTGAAGGAATGTCTCCAGGTCGTGCATGTTATTTCTCCCGCATGTTCTCTTCTCTGTTTCATCTGTGCAAAATAGAAGCAATTACACTGAACAAAATAAAAGAATATTTTCCTAATTTCTCATTAAACGATAAAAAATAAGCGGCATTAGGTTCAGCCTCAAAAGTTAGACTGATATAAAACATATAATCAGTCTGAGTCACTGACGTTTCTTTCAGGAAGTCTATCAGATACATAAACTCTTGGCCTTGCTATAACAATTTACGCCCATCTGATATCAATTGAACTGATTTTATATTTAAATGATTTAATAGTCGTATTATTTATAGCCAAAGAAAGGCAATGTTTCCATACCATAATCGTCCTCACTAGATGAACTGTCCATTGTTGTTGAGATGTCACACTAGGCCTAGTCGTTCAATAAAACAAATGAATGAAATGTTACCGTATAGATATAAAACAATATTTCTAGAAACTAATTTATAGTAAGGTTTTTCAACGAGGAAATAAGTTAAACGTTAAATAAAACGATTGAATAAATTAGCGTTAAAATGTCATTGTCACTGTCACTGTCGACAATGAATTTTTAAGCCACAAAAATTGTGTGACGTAAGCACTTCTAAGGATTATTACACGTAAATTGAATATGATAGTCGTCATGCATGGTAATGTACTGATTAAGCGCCATCGTTCGCGTTTTACGAGAGGAATCGAATGTTGGGAGAATACGAGAGAAGCATATTCTGTGGTATTCTCCCAGCATTCCTTGAGAAATGACAAGCTTGTTGCCAAGCGACAAAAAACATATGCTAAACATTTGAAACATAAACCAAACGAATGTGGAAAAACGCGGTTTGCGAAAAGTTTGAAGTTAATGGTTATGGTCCAGACACCCCGGACGCGATTCGACAATACGACGCGATTTATCGATTTTCACTGACCGATAATTTTGATCCTAGTTTGAATTTTCCAAATATTTAGAAGCGCTATAACATTTTGAGTTATTTGGTCCACATATCTTTAAATTACGCTTCAAAATTCAGTTAATTAAATCAAAACAGAGAAAGTCAATTGTCCATTTACTGCACGGTGAGGACATTCTCATTTCTCACCAATCTTCCAACAGGATAGGAGCAGTTTAGTACGGCAGGTGTTTTTTTTTTTTTTGCCAGTGTGCAAAGGACCTTTTTGGATCTTCTAAAGCCCCGCTCCACGGTCCATGGTATGACCATGCAGGGCTTCAAATTTGTGGTATCCCGATATCCCGGCAATACCAGATTTTAAATTTGGATACCGGAAATCACAAGCTCAGTATCTGAAAAAAATTCTGTCCACGACTGATATTTCTTGACCAAATACCATTGCGGGCATGCAGTGAAGACGTGCTTCGAAATTCAAAGCAAGAAGCATTTACTTCATGCATATAATTGCATATTAGTTTCTCATCCCCCCCCCTGCATGGCTTTTTGCGCAGCCGCCCCGACAGCCACTTCCTCAGTGGCCATTATAATACAAAAACAAACCAAATTTTACAGATTCATTTGCAAAATACACGTACCATTTCTTTCCCATCGTAGATGCTTTTTCGAAGCTCAAATTGATATCTTGGTATCATACCGGAAATCAATGAAAATTTTAAACAGAAAATTGTAACACTCTTAATATAATAGCCAGTTGCGAGGACTTTGCCTTTGGGGGGGGGGGGATTAACCTGAATTTTCCAACTTAACGTTTTTACCTGATTTTGCGACGCATACATGCCGAGAACATTTCAGCTGCTAATTAATATTTTTTATACATTAAAGAAAGCGATATACACTTTGGTATTCATTACTGTTTCTTTGCAAGCTTCTTCTTAAATAATTTTTTTTTAAATCTCTTCGAGTTCCTTCAACCAAGATATATATACTGTAGGTAGCTTTGTGTTCTGCGTCGCAAACATTTTTCCAGACATACCAAGAATTTTCCGAGGATATCGTAATTTTCGTGAACATACAAAAATCTTTTCCCGACATATCATAATTTTTCCGAAAATACAAATATTTTTCCGGACATACCTTAATTTTTACGAAAATACAAAAAACATTTTCCACAGATATAGTTATTTTTCCCAATGGGTCATTCCAGAAAAGATCCATACCCCCCCCCTACGGAGGAAATTGAAAATAACCCCCTCCCCCCCTTCGGACATCCTTGAATGGTTCATCCTCCTCCCCTCTCCGGACATCCAAGCCCAAAATTACCCCCCTCCCCTTCGGACATCCACTATTTCTAAATTTTTCTAAAGGCTACCTCGCCGTTTGAAAACGTCAAATTAGACTACGTTCACACTACGCGCGAGCGAACTAATGCGGGCAGAATTTACGTGTGTTCACACTACCGCCATTACAGTTTGTTTACAAATTGAATTAGCACTGGTGTAAACCCAAAATATTTCAAATAGACCCAAGAAATTTAACTGAAAAGCATTCGAGTTTACACGTTTGTGTTCACACGAAGCTATCAAGCGCTCCGCCGTTTTCACCTCGCTCCGTTTAGAAACCGTGCTCAAATTGTTACGGCAAAAGTGACGTGAAAGTTTTCAAATGATTTGCTCCAGCGTAGTGTGAATTAGCGATGGCTTATTGTGACTTTTCTACACTGTTTTCAAATAGCTCCGGCGTGGCGGAACACTTGGCGGCTTCTTGTGACTTGCGAACACAAACACGTGGCAGGTTTTGTCGGATAATTTCATTGCAGAAATTCACTTCGAAATTCGTTCAAGTAAAATTCGGACTGAAATTCGATGTAACTTGCGACTGATTGACAAGCGTTGCTGTGTTTACTTACATGTTAATACATTTTGTAGTATTACTGCATTCCTTAACCTCGCCCTTAAATCCTTAATATGAAAGCCATTTCTATTTTCTAGATACGCACCTCGCAAGGAAGCTTTATTGACTATATACTAAAACAAACTGTTTTGAGTTCAGTTCACATAGCAGTCTCTTAACTCGAGCAACAGTTTAATAACTATTATTTTTAACACTTGAATAATTCAAACTTATATATATACGAACGAAAACTGCAAACTATATAAATAAAGCGTGTCAATTTTCGACTCATTCTCAACATGCAGGATACGCTTTTGGTGGCCATGCATGCAAAAGTGGGCCGCTTATTTTGCTTACAAGTTACGTGGACGTATAATTATTGCTGTTACATAAACGTTCCGGTGTTCAAGAGCTGCATATATATAGCCGATAAAAATTATGAGGCGCGGAATCGGACATTATTCTGAACTTATTATATAACATGCTAAATTCAAAATATATATGGCATATTTTACATACACAGTGATAATTTTCAAAAACTTGTGCTAAACTTATAAAGGCCATTCTAAACATCATCATATACATTCAGAATTTCTTGCATCGTGTTGTCAAATTATATAACTTATTCTAAACTTTTAAATAACATGCCAAAGTTTTTTATAACTTGCCAAACTTTAATTTTGCCGCGACCCATTTTACATCGTATTCCAAATTTTTATGAGACATGCTAAACTTTTATGATATGCTGAAAGCACTTTTATATCGTGTTGCATAATGCATTGCGGTCGCGTGCCTGCACAACCCGACAAATCATAGCCTGTGCCTGAGCTGAAAATCGGCAAATAAGTGGAAACCTTCAAACTGCGCTTGTAAATTGTAATATTGCTCACGAAGCTAGGAACTTATTGGACAATTTCGACGATCGAAATAGTTTGGCAATCTAGAGGCAGTTGATGCAATCGACATCAACAACAACGCAACCTGCTCCAGAAGGCGACAAAGAAACAAGTGTGACGGTCGTAGGCCCATAAGGGGGGGGGGGCATAAGTACAAATGCGAGTAATATAAGGCCATTCCATTTAATATCCACACCCCCCTGTTGACGAGATTTTCCGAAGGGGGTCTGAAATTCTGAATTTTTGAGGGGTGCTAAGTTCAAATTTCTGAGGGGGTTATAAAAGGACAATTTCTGAAGGGGTCAACTTTTTTTTAATTTTCAAGGGGGGGGGGGAGAGGAAGATACTACCTGTTGACGATAATTTCCAAGAGGTGGTCAATAAATTTCCGAAAATTTCTGAGGGGGGTGAATAAATCAGTCGAAAATTTCCGAGGGGGTCTATCGTAATTGAACCACGTCAACAGGTATTTCCGTGTACCCTGGATTCCAGGCCTTCAGTAAAGAATAAATTGAAACGTCGTGAAGGCTCTGGTTCAACGGGAGAATTCTTTGATTAAACCCGCGCCAATCACAAAACAGAATTAGTGGTTTTAGTACAGAAAATGTACAGATCAAAGGTACAGATTCTGTACCAAAACCACTAATTCTGTTTTGTGATTGGCGCGGTTTAATCAAATTAAGAATCCTTCCGTTCGACCAGAGCCTTCACGACGTTTCAATTTATTATTCGAAGTGACTATATGACCGGCAGCCGGTCACGGTTTATAAAATACTAAATGGCCGGCAGTCTAGTGACTATTGTTAAAGTTTAATTTTTATAAGATAAACCTATCCAAAACCCCAAACCCTCTTCTAACCCTAACCCCTAACCCCTAACCCTAACCTTTTGAGAGTTAGAAAAGTCGGGAAAAAAAGTTTAAAAAATTTTAAGAAAAAACAATGCTAAGTCAGACAAAACACATCGCGACCCCGACTGCGCTTAACTTTCCGCACGCAGCGCCCTTGTCGTATGAGCTAACGGTAAGCTCGGTAAAAGTCATAGATATCTCATATACACTAGATAGCGCATCTCGGAATACAAAACTGAAGCCAAAAATCTCAGCGGTATCCCCCATGAAAATAGGCGGCGGCCATATTGGTCGTTCCCACTCATCAATGAAATGCTATAGAAAATACTATACTTTTCGAGGCTTTTTTTGCATTTCTGGATTAAAAATACCTTTTTGAGGTACGTTCGCCTTGAAATCGCAGCTTTTTTGGAAAAGGGTACAAGAAAAAAACATTAATTGGCGATGTTGTTGTCTTTGAATCGCATTTTAAAGCTAAAAATTTCGAATTACGACATTGGCTTTATATACTTGTTTTGAATCTGTGAGTGATTCTCTGGTGAAGTATCGTCTAATCAATACATTACTTATGGTTTCTGGCACCACTTTATGGAAATGGAGTTGGTAAGTAACGTTTCAACTATCGGCGTAGGCAGTTTATACTGTAAAAAAACAGAGTCTACACTTTCAGTTTGGGCAGTTTTCACTGTAAATCTTTAGTGAAATGTTTGAGACAGTCTGAGTCTGCACTTTCAGCTTGGGTAGTTTTCACTATAAATTTTTAGTGAAACGTTTGAGACAGAGTTTGCACTTTCAGCTTGGGCAGTTATCACTATAAATCTTTAGTAAAATTATGTTTGAGGCAGAGTCTGCACTTTCAGCTTGGGCAGTTTCATAGTAAATTTTAGTAATATTTAGCTTTCTCTGATACATTCTGTGTAATCACTCACACTGGTGCTTACAGTAAAAGGTACAAGTTTATTTAATTTCTTTTTAATTTTTTGTCCAGATGAATTCTCAGTGGTCTTTTTTCCAAGATGGTAAAATTTAACCTCACAGTAACTCTTGATGATGCTCTTGGTTAACTGAAATATAACATATTTTCACCAACTGGTGAGTTAAAAATATGGTGATCTAGCTCAGTAAAAAGATTGTGTATGGACAATGAAGCCAGAACATATGGACAATGAACAATGAAGCCAGAACAGAAGTGGTCAGAGCATATAAACATCTGCTTTTTGGGTGACCACTTTTCTTGATGAACATTTTGTATCAACTGTTTTCATAGTACTTCATCCTTAGGGATGTTTATCATGTTAATGCAAGTCTAATTTCAATCAATATAATAGTATACTGTAAAAAACTAAAAATAAATTGCTTACTGATGAAATGTCCTGGGAAGTTTTCTTTTGATTTTTGATTCTGTCATTGACCCTTCACTATTACTTCTTATACTTTTTGCATCAGGAATGACTTTACCCATTGCTATGAAATTTTCTGAGTTTAATTCAAATTTTTAATTTCAATTGGCACCAAAACTTCTTCAGGTCTCCAAATTTTTTTTTTAAATTGGACATTTTTTAATGATATTTACAGTAACCACTAAACTCAAAAGGCAAAAATTGAGAGTTTATCATGTTTTCAATTCCTGAGAGTACTGGCAAATTTATTTTATTTTTTTTAGAAAAGTTTAATTATTGTGCATCTGATGAATCAAAGAATTAGAAAACACTATTTATACACAAAGTCAAAAGTAATACTTTATTATAACAATAGAATTATTTATACAATAGTGAGTGCAACTATATTTAAGATTATAAAATCTACTGTGCATCAAGCAGTTTATCCCATTGACCTTACAATATACAATATACAATATACAATAATGCAAGAAGTAATGTGTCTCATTACAAAATAGGGTTTCCCAAAGCAGTTCTAAAATTCAGCTGATTATCAATGACCTATGCTGTTAATAATTACAGTAATTTGGCAGTTTGATTGCTTGAATTAAAAACAAAAGGTCTAGGACTCAACAGAAAGAAATATTTCTTAACATCAAATATTAAAGATAGTTTGAAGCATTCATACAATTGAAGGTTTTAGAAAGTTTGATTATCAACTACATTTACATAAAGCATTAGAATATCAATTATGTTATATTGCCTGCGAATATACTAAGTTGCAATTATTCTTCTCTAGCTTCTAACACATTTTAATCTTGATGTGATTCCATGGAACTATAAAATAATATATGATATGTTGTATGTATGTAATAAATATACAAATAGTAAGGAGTAAGAACCAGTTTTGGTGTCAATGTTTTATATATTGACTATTTAAGATTTTAAGTCTATTTTTGCCATTGATAAACTGTGACTAAAATATGTTTTTCAGTGTCGCTGTCTTTTACAAAAGAATATGCAAATACATTCACAATTTTTCCATGAAGCAATGGCGATGGCTCAAAATGTTTTATTTGGAATTGGTGGAACTATATTTATATATACATCAACAATGATGGTTTGTCCATAAGGTTTGTCCTATGGGCGCCCTTCATACAGGTCGACAAATATTGATATTTTCGAAAAAAAAAATTACATTCTGCCTACCCGTTATTCACAATATGAAGCTCCAACGATCTGGCATCATTTACAACAAGTTGCACACTTGAAAAACCAAAATTGACTGCATAAAAGAGGATTGATTGTCAACTTTGTCCATTTCCGCAATACAAAATATACAAATTATCACGCTCCGTGGGAACGACCAATATGGCCGCCGCACGTAAACTGCGACTGCGATCAGGCTTCAATTTTCGCCTGCCTACAGGGTGGGATGCGCTATCTAGTGTATATGAGATATCTATGC